GGATTTCCTGAGCCTTCCACCCTCTGCTATCCCTGTGGACATCCCCTGTCAGCTGGGCACTACTGAAAATGTCACCCAGGCATAGGCATAGCTCCAAGTACTATGCAACCAAAGAGGGGGTTCATGAGGAGCTTGGGAAGGATGCTCAGCAGCTCACCTGACACAGCCCTGCATATTGTTCCCATGCCCACTTTACTGTCCATCCCACATGGAGATCTATGGAGATCCACCCATATATCTATTCACCCTTATTTCCACACATACACACACACCTTTTTTTTTTAATCCTTACACAAGATAAAGCAGACAGGGGTCTGAATCCACAGCAGGAGGTGGTGCTTGCCCAGCATGTGCTGAGGGCAGGAGTTCGTAACTCAATCAGTACCAGAAGATACAGGTGATTACCCTGAAAGCCAGGACCTGCCCTTCCAGGCAATTGAATTAGGGGCCACGTGTCTGTGCTAATTCCAAGGTCAGCCAAGCCACAGAGCTCCTGGAAGAGCCATTGCCTGGAGACGTGTCACAGTGAAGGGGAAAATGGCCTGTGCCCACCAGGCCCTGAAACCTTCCTTCAGCCTTCCTTTAGGCCAAGATCCCTCAGGCTCCTTGCTGGGATTGTGCTAGCTCCACTCCTCAAAATGAAAATAAATATACCTGAAAGCATGCAGGGAAACACTCACACCGATAGAAACATCCATCCTTCCCATGCACACAGAGCCAGATGCTTGACAGGCATGAAGACACATATGCAAACACACACAAACACACACCGCAGCCAGGGCAACACTATACCCCTGTACACAAGCACTCACTCCCCGCCAGGCCCTGTGTTATTTTTTGTACCATGCTTGCAGAGCAGTCCCAAGCCACCAACAGGGCTCCCAGCCTCTTATCCCATTGCTGAGAGTCCTTCTTCCACAACGCAGGGTCCTACAACATTCCTATCCACCAAGGAGGTGCTCCCTCCTCCAGAGCAGCCCAGAGGATGTGGCTCTGGCCCTTTTGCTGTGCTGATGCTATTAATTGACCCTTAATTTTGTGTGCGTGCATCCTCGCCTTCCTTGACTGGAGGACAGAGCTAGTAGCTTCCTCCCCACACACATTAGGAAATAATTGCCCTAATGTTTTTTTCCAGTAGGCCTGGCCTGCAAAATCCTCCGATTACTGCCTGGGGCTGGCCAGATACCAGGCTGATGGAGGTAGGTAGGAGGAAAGGGCTCCAGCATTGATGGGGCCACCCCGCAGGACAGGAAAAGAGAGAGAAGGAAGAGGCAGGACGCAAGATCTTGGCTTTTTCCATTGATGGAGAAGTGAAAGAGAGAGCAGGTCCAGGTCAGGTCAGTTAATGTGGAGGGGGCACTAATGCTGACCCATGGAGGGAGGGAGAGACCTGCAATGGAATTAGAAGGCAATCCGCAGGTTGCGAGGCCCATGGAGCACATCTGTCCTCATCCAGAGGCAAAAGCACACCTGGAAATGCCCTTAGTAGCCTCTAATGGCCCTGGACATGTGAGTGGTGGGAAGAAGAGCTGTGCAGCATCTGGGGTGGCCTTGGCTTTCTAGAGCCTCTTCCTCAGGGACTAGCAGCAGGAGAGAATTCAGGAAGCAGGAAGACCTGGCTTGAGCCAGCATTAGTAACCAGAAAAGAGGGAAACGTGTCCCATTGGAACAGGAAGGAGTGGGAGTCCCCGCTGAACATCTCTCCCCAGTGCTTGCAGGTTCACATCTAAAATAACAGACCATCAACGACACCCTGTCCTCCAGCAGCACCAAACAGGCCACGCCGCTCAGAGGTGGCTCTGGAGATGTGGGGATGTTGACCCTGAAGAGCAGATGTGTCGGGGGGCTGTTCCCCTGGCGCGTCACTGCGGACGCGGTGCCCACACACCTGCACATCACCCTCCAGCAGCGCTAGTGCATCCTCACTGCAGGCTTTCTGCAGAGCTCCGAGCCCTTGCTGAATGACCCCAACTTAAGGAAGGGGCTCTGGTCCCACTGTGACACCTTCCCAAGGCTGCTCCTGCTGCTGTCTCGGCCCTGAGCGCCTTCTCTGGCCAAGCAGTGCCACCCTGTGGCAAATGCCTTTCTTGTCTGCCCCAGGCCTCCAGGTCTCAGCATCACCTTATCCCTCGTTACTGCAGAGCTGTGAAACTCAGCACTTACTTCCTAAATATGGAGTATTTTAGAGATTCAAACTTTATAATAACAGGTTGGGAAAACCTCACTGAGTGCAACCCAAGGAGGAAAGGACTCAAGGCACCAGAGCAGCAGGAACAGGAGAGGACATCACATGAGTGTCCTCTGCTCCCCCTGAGCAGGTCCCTCCAGCCCAGCCCCGAGTGCCAGGGGTCCCACTCCCAGCAGCTCTTTGCTGTAGGTGATGGTTCTCTGACACTCTCCAACAATTCTCCCCCCAAATAAAATTAAGGGCTGTTATTAAATAATGAAGCATAGACACATTATTACCAGGTAATTATTTCTTATGAAAAAGGACTTCCACTCCAGTCTGGTGTCTCCAGCACTTTTCTGTGGACACTTTCCCAGTGTCTGGCTGGAGGGGTGGGGGGAATTAGTGTCATTACACCCACTGTGTTGGTGGGGAAACTGCAGAAGGTCCCTGGCAACATCAAGGAGAGAAGTCGGGTAGTCACCAGCCCAGCCAGGGTGCTGTGCACTGGTTATAACTCCACATAGCATTTTAACCTTCCAAGCAGCATTCTCCAAATCCCTGGAGACGTTCAGACTCCTTTACCACGTCCCAGAAGGACCAACGTCACCCAGAACCACCATCTGGTGCCTGGGTGCACTTTAGAATAGCATCAATGACGGGCATCTCGCAGGAACAAGTCTTATTTGCAGATGCATTGTGCTGGTGACCATCCCACTGAGGTCCTTCAGAAGTAAGGCCTGAGCCATAAACCTTCGAGGCAAATGGGAACAGGCCCCCTGCTTTTGCCCAGACAAACAGCCCCTGAGTCATTGGGATGCCCTGATTTTTTTCCAGCCGAACAACTACACACAGAAGCTCTCAAAAAGAGTAGTAAGCACCTGGAGCAGGAGAACACACCTGGCCTCACTGGCTGGGTCAGGATAGAGCATTTTCTATGTACAGAGCAGAAGCCAAGACAGCTGACATGTCACCAGTAGTTTTTATTCGATCCCATGAAATGTTTTGACTGTTCCCCAGACTGACTCATCTCACTTAGTGGAGCTGATGGACATGTTTGTTGCAATTGAAACTCAACCTGGGAATGGATATCTCCATTCTGGAGCCTGGGAAACATGTGCCAGCTCTCCTTCTCCTACCATTCACCTCACTAGGCTTCTCAGCTTGGTGGTTCTGGCTGGGACCACACTGTTCCTGCTCCCAGATGGGGTCAGGAGGCCCAGGATGAGCTCATCTGGGTGCATTCCTGAATGACTGGGCAGAGAGCAGCACACATGGGGCTGCAGTCTGGGTCAGGAGGCCAGAGGTGGCAGAGAGCTTACACACACTTTGTTGAAGGCCTTTGCTGGAGTCTTCATGGGAGAGTAGGAGACCAGGACATATCTTGAACATGTGCAGCACCTCTGTCTCTGACATGGGGGTGACCGGATGCCTTTATTCCCTGAGATAGGGCTTAAAGCAGTCCCAAATCTAGACTAGGCAGCTTAGAGTTCTCCATCTCCATCCCCACCAGGGCCCACAGGTCAAGACGGAGAACAAGGTCAGGGGACATGTGGGTGACTAACCTCTTTAGTCTGCTGGGTCTGAACCCACAGGAGCAGCAGATCTCTGCTCCCCAGGGAGCACAGCCTGGCATCTGCCACTTCTTCCATCTGCCTGAGTGACACTGGGGCCTTCCTACTGCCAGCCCTGGCACAGCTGCCCAGGGCATATTGGGAAAGTCTGCCCCAGCAGGTCCTTGTGGGGTCAAGGAGATGGGAGGACACCCCATTGAGAGAGACCTTGGGGACACCTCCCAGTTCCTGGAGACATGCCACCCTGCCATGGTGACCCTGCCCACGCTGACAGCTGTGTCCTGGCATCCCTGCAACCATGGCCACGTAGCACCCCACCAGCTGCGCCCATGCTGAGAACAATCTGCTGTCTACAGAGGTGGCCCAAAAACCTGCTCTGCAGGCAGATACGTGCTTGCAAGCAGATGTTCTAGAAGACATGTGACTCAGAGCTCCTGCCTTGGAGTCTTGGTGATAAATTGTCTTGGTGGGTTCCTTCTAGAGATATGTCTGACCCAAGGGCAGGACTGCTTTGTGACAGCTTGGCCATGGATGCAGGAAGTTTGACTGGTTCCTGGTTTTCCATTAGCTAGAGATTTAGATATATTTCCACACCTTTGGAATGCAAAGGCATGAATTCACAGTCCAAGGAGGCTGTGCCATGTATTCCATCTACCCTGGAAGGTGATCAAGAGACTGACTCCAAAAGTTTCATATCTCTCATCTCCAAAAGTCTCACAAGCTTTTTCCATGACCATCTGCCAGGTACAGAACCTCCCTGGGCTCCATGTGCGTGGGTGTCATAGTCACAATCCTCCGGGATCCAGGATGGAGGGCAGGGGGTCAGCACAGGGGGCAGCTGTCCCAGTGCATGACTACGAGAGTCCCAGATGTCACAGAGTGCCAGCAGGAGATACCACCCTCTGCTAGAGCACTGGAAGAATTGTTCCCACTGGCAAGGTTTGACCAGCCAAGTTTTAACCAAAAGTGACAGAAAATGACAGCAGGGACAGTGTGAGGTCCCTGAGATCTGCAGAAAAGTAAAGGAGATCATTCAGTTTTTGTCCAGAAGGGAGAGTTTCTTATGGAATTGCTTTCTTCAGAAGTCTTTTGAGTGCTGTCACACTGCCCACAACATCACACAACATCAGTGAGATCCCTCCCAGACACAGGCTGGGGACAAGCCAGGTTCCCTCCTGGCGACTGGCTCAGGAGGAGGACGGCTCATCTCTGCCGACATCTCTCCACAGGGATGACCTGGTGGGAACCACCTCCCGCTGTCACTGCGAGTCCCTCTTGACCAGCAGCAGCCAAGGGAGCACGGCCGCAAGCAGGGCCACAGTGAGGATGAGCAGCACAGCCAGGGCGATGGGGGACTGGCAGCATTTCACCCCCAGCGCGGGGCTGGATGACACTGAGCTCAGGGTCTCTGCTCTGCTGCTCCTCCTCAGTGAGCCGCAGCATTCATCTACCAGGGGCATCCCATGGCTGCTGATCACGAAGATGTGGGCTTCCCGGGCCAGCTCTCCTGGGACCCCTCCAGAATCCAGAGGGGCATTTCCGGGGCTGCGACATCGGTCAAAGCTTTGCACCGGCATCACAAAATGGCTGGGAACCACCAAGGTGTTGGAGGGCTCCAGCCTGGTCAGGTGGGACAGGGAGGAAGGTGACAGAGGTATTTCCAGCGTCCAGGGGTTTGTCCCTGCCTTGGGTGGCCAGAGAGCCTTCTTCTTGCTGAGGAAAGTCACGTAGCGACAGATAGGGCAGATGATGCTGTTCTGGACCTGGCCGTCGAGCTTGGCGGAGAGCAGGCACTTCACCAGGCAGTCGTGGCAGAAGGTGTGTCCGCAGCTGAGCCTCCGCCGCGTGGCCTCCAGTGGGTGGAATTTCTCGTAGCACACCGGGCACTCGGCCGGGAGGCTCTCCTTGCTAGCTGAGGGCTCAGACATCCCTGCTCTGTCAGCCACACACACTCCCTAGCTGTAAGAAAGGGACATGATTGAATATACGGGTCCTAGTTACAAGCGCAGAGCTTAAAGGTTGGCATGATGCATGTCCCCCTCACCATCACTCCTCCTCCTTCCTTCCTTCTTGGCCCTAGCACTGAGGACAGAACATTACATGAGCTCAATGACCCAGGACATTTTCAGGAATATTAAGGCTCTCAGCCTGGCCTTGCTTGCAGCAGACCTCTAATGGGAGGATCTCAGCTGGAGAGTCACTCGCAGCAACAATTTCTGCATGCAAAATTTGATGGAAACAAACATGAGCTCCTGAGTGGAAGGCTGGTACAGCCAAAAGGAACATTCAAGGAAATTCAGCATGTGTCACAAGTGTTTCCGTGCTCTGCTGTAAGCTCGCAAGTTTGTGGAGTGAGGGGAACTCTTACCCAACATGGTCCCACAAAGACACATGCCAAGAAGAGGGAGATGCTCCTGTACTAGGGGAAACAGAGGAGAAGAGAGATGCCAGGTCAGTGGGAGAGACAGCAGTGCCCATCACACAGGGATGGAGCAGGGAACAGGCTATCCATGCGGCAGGCAGCGAGCACTCACTCCTTGCAGGGCCTGGAGGACACCCCAGCCTGGTGGGTTCTGCAGGTTGGTGCTCTTCACCTGGCTGGAGCAGGGTGCCACCTGCACGTCTCAGGAGCCCGTGTCTCTGCTAGTCACCATGGGCAGGGCACAGATCAGCCTGGCTAGCGTTCCCCCCACCAGCCTGGCCCAGGGAAGACCATAACCGTGGAGATCCATGAACCTGCGTGCAAGCCTCATCCAAAGCTCTCTGGTGCCTTTCCCAGAGTGAAGAGTGTTTGCATGGTAGCTTCAGGATACTCAGGACCCTTCTCTTAGTTCAGTTCTGCAGTTAAAGCTTCATAAACCAAGGCAGTTTCTCAAACCTCGCAGTCTTTTTTGGACCCAATCTGCAACCCTCACCTCAGGCCAGGACCCAGTCCAGGTTGTGCACCCTTGCATATCCCCACAGGTATTTCCGAAGGTGACACACTCCCTTTCTGTCCACCGTCTCCCTCTTTCTCTTGCTGCCAGCAGTTGCACTCACTGCTAGAGAGGACGACATGGAGGCCCTGGAACTGGAGATACCTCCTCCAAGACAGCCACAAAAGTGCAACGAGCCATAACCGCTCCTCGTGTAGGAGGACAAAGACCCAGGTTAGTGCTTTGATTTAGGAGCCATCAGGGATTTGATGCTTCCCCAAACTGGCCCAGAAGGTCCTAACCCCAGCAGCGTGCTCCTCCTCGCCCAGGAGACCACTTACCTGCTGCAGGGTGGCCGGCCAGGGGACTCTCCATGCACTCTGCTGCTGCCTGTAGAACTGGAGCCTGCTGTGCCAGAGCTGAGCACCCGCTGAGAAGACGACCGAAGTGCCTATATAACACGCAGGCGTTTGCTCTGCGTCTCATCCCCAGCACGTTGCGCAAAAGCCGAAGTGAGGACAGGGACAGCTCCCGGAGAGTGAATGTGGAGGAACTTGTTTGGGTTTTAAAGGCTCCCTGGTTGCTTTGCTGGCCCAGGAGTGGGTGAGGAGCTGGTGTCAGGCGTCGGAGGGCAGGACAGTCCTGCCGCCTTTCCCTTGTGTGATGGGAAACTATACTTAGGTCTGTCCTTGGGGTCAGGTCACGCCGACACACGTACCAAAGGGGATGCCGGGACCATATTCCTTTTTTGGTACAAACCAGAAGGAGCTCCAGGTCCTGCACAGTGAACTTATCACCCCATGGATGGGGTGAGAATTCCCAGACTTCCCAGCATGATGGGCTGTGTACCCAGTGCTTCATGTGCCAGGGCCAAACTCCTCCCAAATGCATCTTTCCCTCTATGCACACTCGCGTTTCTAACCACTTACCTCCATACCCCAACCCCTCACGCTGAGCAGATCTTCATCCCCATGCTCCTTGCTCTCCTCATCTCCCTTATGCGTTCCCACCAGGAGAAAATGTGGAGTTTCTAACATAGAAAGCCTTTAAGATGTGCTGGGAAGAACCTGGACATGACAGAATAGTCTTGCCTTGGGGCAGAGAGATGCTTTGCATGAGCATTCCTGACATTATGAGAGACCTCTGGTCTCAAAGTGCTGAGTGAGGGCTTTCCAGGGTCTATGAGACAGGCAGCAGAAGAAATTAGTAGGAGACAAGTACATATTTGGCATCCAAAACCCTATTAGATGTGGCTTGGGGTCCCTCAATAGGCAATGATTCCATCCAGGGTCTATGAGACAGGCAGCAGAAAAAATTAGTAGGAGACATGTACATATTTGGCATCCAAAACCCAATTAGATGTGGCTTGGGGTCCCTCAGTAGGCAACGATTCCGAGTGCCTGGGAGCCCTGGTGTGTGCAGGGTTCCTGGCGTGGGCAGCAGTATCGCTCCCCATGGGCGCAGCAGTTCCAGCAGTTACGACACAGAGCAGGTTTCTGGCAGGACAAGGGTGGGCAGCGCTGAGCTTGGGCTGCTCCATGCTCCAGGGAGCTGTCAAAGTGCACCTGCCCTCCTGATGCTTCACGGAGGGCACCTGTAGTGTGGAGCTTGAGCTCAAGGGACTTCCTGTGACATGAAGTCCCATTCTTCAGACTATTGAGACCCTTCTGCACCTCTGCTCACGATGAGAGGCTGAATACTTCACTTCACTTGTTATCCCAATTTTCTTGGGCTGTTGAGAAGCCAAGTTTGAAAACTCTCCAAACAGATTTTGCTGACATTTATACAGTCACTACTGGGCTCCTGACTCCAAGTCCTGCAGCTTCCCCCTGCTCTGGCAAATCCCGGGATGCCCAAACCACCAAATCCCTGAGCCGGCTCCCCAGAGCTGCATTCACACTGAGTGAGGTCTCCACTACAGAACAAGTTATTTGGACCAGTGAGATCAAATTTGGGCCAGTCCAGCATCTCCACAGCTTCCATTCACTCTGCCGGCCCTGAGGTGGGGTTGAAATTCCTGTTGCACATAGTTTGAATGCTCTCCATCGTCAGAAACTATGAGCTCACTGCACCATACATAGGCACTGGAAAAACGAGTCCACCTCCCTTTACTGTTTTGACCACACTGAAATCAAAGGGATTTGGCCTCATCTTTGTCAGCAGTTTCATTCTTTCCTGGGCACGACCTTTTTTCCCGATGTCCTTGCCCCACTTTCACGTGAAGTCGCATCTTTCCTGTGTGATAGGATTTAGTTCTCAGGTGCCTGAAGGAGAAGAAATCAGGTTCAGGGAGAAAGCAGCTGCCCAAAGGCAGCTGTGTTTGTTCTCTAGCTTTAAGAGGTGCAGCTTGTTCCCAGAATTTCAGCCCGCTCACCCTCGGCACAGGTCAAGGGTCCAGGATCTCTTACTCCAAGTGAGAAGGCAGCCTGGGCTCAGCTCTGCTCCTGAGGCCACCTCTCAGATCCGCTTGGCACTAGGGTTGGTGGGAACCAGCGAAGAGGGGACATTTCTGACCCAGGACAGGACTTGAAGACTGGGTCACCTCCCCACAATCACGGCAGATTTGGGGCCTGTCGCAAGCACAAGAGTTTGCTGCAGACGTGGCCCTCCTGTTTCTAGCAAGCACAAATTCATCATCCAACTTTTTGCTCAGTGGTGGGCAGGAGCCTGGTGGGAAAACCCCGGATTTATTCTTGGTGGTCAAGTCAGCTCCTCTTGCAAGGTGCATGTGAGGAGCTTGGCCCTTTAGACAGAATTAGTCCATAAGGTTGGTGCCTGCTGGAAATTACGGACCAAGGGGAGTGTCTGGCTTCAGAAGTCCTTAAACAAGTGGTTGCCAAAAGCTGGAGGAGAAATCCCTGCACCTGTGTCCTATATTCTCCTCTAAGCAGCTTCCTTCAGCTCCACGTATGAGGCCCATGAAACAGTGGCTGCAATGCCGGCTGCCCAGTGTCATCCCTGTCTTGGTGGCCTCCCCGTGTCCACAGATCCTTCCCAGCAGACTCGTCTCTCTGCCCTATTCAGGTCCAGGCAGGCGAAACTGCTGCCCGGCGGTGCCGGCCAGGCCGGCCGGGCCTGCTCGGCCGCACACCGCAGCACGTGGCCGCGGGACGCTGCCCCTGCACGCCTCTCCTGCTGCTCCTCTGCTCCTGACGTCAGCAGCCTCCACTCCTGGCACTCGGGTTGTTAAACCATTCCCACCTGCACCGGTGGCCCAGGCTCTCCAGGCTCCCACGGCTGATGATGTTTCACACGCAGGAAGCTCTGCTGGCGTGAAGCATATAGAGATCTCCGAGCCCATGTTGGGCTCGTTTCCCTCTCTTTCCCATGGCATGATCAGGTGATCCTTCCATCTCCATAGGATCATTGGGCTCTCTGGTTTCACCTTGCAAGGGCAGGACCAGACCCTGTGACACCTGGAGCCAGGGGACATCAGGGATGCTGGGCCGCCTGGTTGCAGGTCTAGGTGAGTGCAGCTTGCGAGTGAGGCTCTGGCACTCCTGTCCCCTCCCTGGGCACAGCTAATCCTTCCAAATCCTCCCTCTGGCCTCATTGGGTTTTTTGTTTTTTCCTTAGCAAAGCTCCACGCATGTGAGAGAGGATTCTGTGAAAAGGTTTAGGATTTGTCTTCAGCTCCTTAATCTCAAGCTGAATCTTGCAGGATTTTCTGCCTGACTCGTCCTCCTCTCAACACCCGAAATGCCTCCAAAAAAAAAGATGAAGACTTGGGAGGGATAAAACCAGAAAGTCTGACCCAAGCTTTTGCTGAATTCTGATATATAAAGAGCAGAGATGCTGCCATTCAAGCAGCATCTTGGATGCCAGCGCTCCGAGCGTGGGACCTACCCTCTCCATGGATCTGCATTCAGGGCCGAGAGACCATGCGTTGTCATTAGCTATGAGCCAGGTTAAGCCAATTGCTCTCAGTGCCAAATTTAAGATTTCACGTGGATTCAGAGTGTCTTTTCCCTGCGGGTATCTCCGCACCATGCTCAGTCCTTGCGCATGATGCA